ACATGTGGGAGATGAAGATGAAGCGGAGCTCCTTCATGATGGCTTCGTACTCCTCTGCGGGGAATGCGCGGCGGAGCTGACCAATGGTGTTCTCACCAGCGTCAAGGAGATAGCTGCCAACGCCAGGAACGCGAATGAGGGTGGACGAGACGTTGCGGTACTTGGAAGGGGCCGCTGAACCAGTGCCCAGGGGCACAATGAGGGCATCCCGGTTGGGAATGTCCTTCTCGTCCTGCTCCACGAGGTCGGTGAAGCTGGGCTCAGCCACCTTTTGCCTGGCTTCTTCCGCCAAGGCGATGACCTGCGCATCGATCTGTTCGGCCTCGTTGAGCAGAGGGAAGGGAACAATCTCAGCGTCGTTAATCTTAAAGTTGGGCAGCATGTGGGCTTTCATGCCAGTACGGCCAATTTCCACCGTCAGGCCGTCGACCTTGGGGATATCGCGGAATGTGTTGTCGAATTGGAGCACGGGGAATCGTGCAGGGTCGAGTCGGTGCAGCTTGGTAAAGAGGGCCGCATAAGACTCGTACGTGATCATGTTGGGCGAAATGTCAGCGCCCATGACGAGATGCCTGACGTGGGGCTTGCTCTTGATAAAGTCCTGGATCGAAGGGTCATCAAAGACACCCTTTCCAAAGATCCAGTAAAAGATCTGGACATTGTCGAGCAGCTCGTCCGACTGCCACTCGGGCCGTTCGAGGAAGCCAGACACGTGTTCCAGAGAGGGGATGGCCAGGACGGCAAAGCCCTGGCCCTTCATAGGCGCCTCGAGCACCATATCAGGGGTCACATCTTTGCCGTCCATGGCCTTGACCGTCTCACCGGCGGTCAGGCGCTTGAAGTCGGGCTTGGCCACGCCCAGCTCGATCGCGACCTTGGGGTTCAGCTTTCCACGACGCCCCCTGTTCTTGACAATATAGCAAAGCGACGTGTCAGACATGGTCGTGGGCGGCAGGTCGGTGACCAAGGCACTCGGCCAGGGCTTGCGAACGAGGACCGTAATGTCAGGCACAACAGCATCCCTCGTGCTCGGTGTCGGTCCGTTGTACTTCTTGATGTGGCCGTTCTCGCGGATGAAGATCTTGGCCGGCATCTGCACGTCGGCGAGCTTGGTCTCGAACAGGCCGTCCTTGCTCCAGTCCGAATTGAACATGTTCTCGACAATGTCGT